GAGTGTTTTTCTTTGACAATATACTGTAAAGTTCAGGAAATGCCACTCAAGGACAGTTCAAGGGGCAAAAAATAGGCTACTCTCCTGCGTGTGCGGATAAGGTGGAGGGGACTTCAGAAGGGGTAAAGTGGCAGGAAGACAGAAGGACAGAAGCACAAAGGAACGCAAGCAGTATCATCAGCTTTTTTGGCCGGAGTGGCATCAGAGACACCAGGAGGACAGCTTGACCGTCATTTATTTTTCAAAAAGAATCCGTTGAGAAATGATCTAGAATTTTGATGAGACAATTAATAGGCAGCTAGCCAAGAAAGCTAGCCAACTTGTACTTTACACTCCACCAGCAGCATTATTTACACAGTAGCTCTGTTCATTCTCTACAAAAGCAATGGCACAAACTTAAAGAAATGTAATGCTTTGTTTCCCACAAAGACAGAAGTGAAGGAGAAAGAGAGAGAGCAGAAGTCAGAGAGGACACGTTTTTTAAAGTTCATCTTTGAGCTGAGTTGAACTAAACATGTGGACACAAAATAAACTGGTACTCTTCACACAGAAGTGTTGTAGAAAAAATGCAGTTTCACTGAAGTTCATGAATGAACAGTCAGACGGCAGCAACAAGTTGGATGAGAGGGGGCAGCAGCAGGGCGACAAGGTGGAGGACAGTGGTTTAATAGGTGCAAGCCAGTAAGACATGGTGCATCAGGAAGTTCAGGCAGTTCGGATTCTGAAAATGATCAGGACAAAAGAAGAAATGATGCTATCCCAGAGTGCTGGACAGAAAAAGCAAGTTAAGTTGAAGAAGGATCAAGGTAAAGCCCTTGGTTGTTCAACCTGCAACAAGGTGAATGCTGCTGGACCAGAGACGAGTGGAAAAGAGAAGCATGTTGCAGAGATCAAGGCAGAGGTGGTTGCATCATTGATATCAAAATGTGCACAGCAACAGTCGCTCCATAAGAAAGTACATCGCTTCAGAACCTCAGACTTTCACAACACAGCTGAGAAAACAGTAGAAACCGTGACTGCTGAGATGATGAGGGATCAGTTTCTGACCACTGCAGGGTGTTAAGGACTGTTTATAAAACTGCAAAATCTGGAAGGAATACACTGACTTAGAAACGGACATAACCATCCAAGTCCTGTATGGACTGGACATCGGAAGTATTTTCCATTCAGAAAAATATTATAAATATAAATAAATATATAAATATATGCAAATATTGTCCATTCTGACTCCATTCTGGTTGATGAGTCACCCACCATCAGCAAAAAATCTGTGCTGAGTAGGAGAGATCTGTGAGAGGATGTGTAGGCAACAGCAAACAATCACTGACGTTATTTTTTTATATAATAGTAGAGCTCCCTGCCACCACAGTAGAGGGAATTCATACAGTGTTGCTCAATAACCTACCTCACCATGGCTTCACAGAAGACAAGGGAGCAGCTTGTTTGTTCTGAATGTGATGGTGCCTCAGTCATGCTTAGAAGCAAGTCCGGTGGGTCACCCAGTTTCCCTACATGTTTATCTGGCACTGTATGAACCACCGCTTGGAGTTGAGTGCAGGAGATGCTGTTGAGGAGGCTGCAGGTCTCAATCACTTTCAACCTTTCTTTGATAAACTGTTAATAAGACTTGACTGGATGTTGTAAGACACTTTCAATTCAGTGTCAAAACTTAGGGTGAATTTTGAGCACATGACGGGTAACTTCCAGCTGCAGAACTGTGAAAGCTGCATAGCAACAGTAACCCTGCCCTTTACACGAACTTTTCAGAAGCATCTATGGACCCAAACAGAAACTCTACAGAAGGGTCATGTTTGGTGGTTTATGCCCGTCGGCTCTGTGGTCCAATCTTTGTGCTCAGACTCGTGTTTAATGCCTTGAAAGATAAGTCTGATTTCTCCCTCTCCCTGCAAGACAGAAGTATTACGCTTCACAGGGCAGATGTGTCACTCGGTCAACTTATTTGGGTACTGAAATCCTTGGCTGCCTCCCCGGGTCTGAACACACAGGAAGCACAGAAGGCAGTGGAGTTAAACATCTTTAAACAGTTGCACTAGAACAAACCAATGTGAGACCATGCACTTATCCAGGGGTTGTTTCTAATACCCTGGCTGGAAGTCTTGAGCAAAGAAAGGGATGTCTACCAAGCAACCAAGCAGGCTGCACGACAAAGACATATATCTTCAGTTCCTTGGCCATATCAAAATGCTGAAGCCTTCCAACTGGCCAGAGGAGTGTGGGGTGAGATGTGCTGGAGCTCTGCAGCTTGAGAGTCGAGAGGGACAGCAAGGCATGGGGGAATACATTGACACAGTCAAGGCCAGGGCTGAGGAAAGTAGGCCTCCAACGCAGCTAAAGCCTCTGCTACATCAACATACTTCAACATACTGTGGAATGAGAATGTGGCTTCAACTAAAGGGGCAGCCGTGGCTCAGTGAATGTGGCTCAAGTTCTAACACGCAGCCACTAGAAGGAAATTTAGCATAGAGCTACAAAAGCAGCAAAGCCTAAAATGAAGTAAGCAATCCCATTTTCCAAGAACAAAGAAAAGATTTGAAAATGTGTTTGAGGATGCCTTCAGTGGTGTAATTCAAGTAATTCATTGACTGCCAAAACATTACAAGCTACCGTAGCTTATTGCACCCACAGGGCTTGTTTGTATCTAATGATCTGACAATCTGAGGCTTGTCAGAGACAAACACATGTAATGAATTTAAAGCCAAGTGTTGTGGAAATTTCTAACACAACCTCAAACAAGCCCTTGAAACTGTTTCAGCCTGCTTTTCAGATAACTGTCAAAAGGCCCACTACATCCAGACAAATGTTTTTTTGTGGAGAAAAAGTGTTAGTTGGTGAAGCTTTTTTCCAGTTCATTGCATATATATTTCATATATGAATAGAAAAAAAACTACATGCCTATATTCTTTATGATTTCCATAGCACTCTTAAAGTTAGACATGCCATTTAATGAGAAAAACCTAAAATAATAAATTTGCCAGTCATTTGAAAAAGTAAACACAATTTATGTTTACAGTCTGACTCCCTGGAAGACGTACTGTACACTTTTGTACATCCAATCTTTTCATTGTAAACAGCAACTATAATGAATGAAGACCTTTGTGGGCATTTTCTTTTGAATTAGCTGGTGTTTATGTGGGTGGGTGTACTGCATAAACAAAGTTCTTTAAAGCAGCAATAATTGATGTTTTTTAGACACTTGAGGGCAGCGGAATAAGCGGTGAACACATTTTATTACCAAATGAACTTGTTAGCACACAGTTTACACACCCAGCAGACATGGAGCAACATTAGCATTTATTTGAAGTTATGTTGGTAGCTGTCTCCACTAACTCATGAATAATATCTGGCTCTTTAGTTGCTAAATGCTCCAGTGTTCACTAACATCTCGCTAACTTTGTCCATCTGCTGTTTGGTTGTGAGCAGTTACTATACAGTGGGTTTGTCTGAGCTTTTTTCGCTGAAAAAAATTACCTGCTTCAGCTGAAAATGAGACTGAGCAAAAAAAAAAGTGAAGTTACGACACATGAAACCAAAACAATGAGCCGAAAGACAGTAAAATGTTTCACAGCGCTGAGGGTTATTGTGGAATTGGGTCATAATGCTCTTTACTATGAATGGATGAATACTATGAAGTGATCATACGGTCCATTGTTCAAACCACTTCCACTTGCTTTAAAGGTGCAGTGTGTAGGATTTAGGAAGAATCTACTGTCAAAAATGGAATATAATATTTATAATTATGTTTATTTGTTTATGTTTATATTACAGTATCATCACCTGAAACTAAGAATCATGTTTTTGTTAGCTACATAGGGAGTGAGTGTTCTTCCACAGAGCTTGCCTATGTTGCACTGCCATGTTTCTGCATTAGCCCAAAATGGACAAACCAAACAAAGGCTCTAGAGATTGGCTTTTGGGTTTTTATTTCTTGGAGGCCACTCACACACGCTTTTAAAAGGAGGGTATAGTTGGTTGCAATGTGCAACCTCACCGCTAGATGCCACTAAATCCTATACACAGGTCCTTTAACAGACTTGTGATGAAAGTACTTCTTAAACAGGGCTGATAGACGAAAGAAACTCGGTTACAGAGAAATAGACTGAGGGGAGAGATAGTGTGAGGGGCGGGAATAAGATGAGTCAATTAACACCTGGAATAAGATTTTAGGCATAGATCATCCTGCCTGTCAGACCCAACCTGCTGCCTGAGAGCAAGTCTTTATATGTGAACACATGAACAGAAACTGACAACAGCCTCTGGGCTTATTCCGCTGCTGATTAGTTTGAGGATTTATAACGAAGGTAATCATGGCAGGATTGTTTTATTTTCTAGAAAAGTGAAACATGAAAGCTTTGCATTGCCCTTAAATATATCAGATCTCACACTCCATGAATAACACACATGGTGAGGTTTAATATGTGTTTTTGTGCTTTTATATCTCATTACGCAGGGTTGATCCACTCAGCCTAATGAATGCAAATCAGCAGAACATTTGATGAGGTGCATCGGTCAGGTCAGTTCCCACATTTTTCCGTTATACTCTGGATTTTCCTCTTCGTCAGAGCCCGGACAGATACCCCCCCCCCCCCCCAACCCTTCCCCACCTCCCCCCTTCCCCTCCCCTCTCTCTCCTTTCTCTTCTCTCACTCCAGCCCCTCTACTCGCGCTGCACCTGTGCTGCCGCTGCTGCCGCCGCCGCCGCTCGTGCGTCAGATGATGGCAACTGATTCTTTAAACCTGTCTCTCCGTCGAACTGGCTGCAGTCCGAGTCGACCCTGCGAAGAGACTTAGACTCCTTCTGCCTCCGCTCGACCCACTTGTTTCCTTTGTGCGGTCCACGCGGTCAGGCGAGAGGCGAATAAACTTTTGGTGATATTTTTACGCACAGGTCTCCAGTCTGGACAAGCAGCCGAGAATATCTCTGCTCGCTTTTCACCACTATCACCACCCGCACGTTTCCCGGAAAAACTTGAAAAGGTGCCATGCAAGTTTATGTGGCTGTGATATTCGCTTATGGAGTGTCGGGTAAGTTCGGCAACTTCTCTTTTTGACCAAATTATGGACTCCTTGCGGCTCAATCTTAGCCATTTCCTGGCGGTATCAAATTTATGTTGAATTCCGAAGATCTAAGAAGTAGCCTTGAGATTATTCCAAGTCAGTATCTCTCAAATCTGTACTGAAGATAAAGAAGGAGAAAGAGAGAACGGCAATTCAGAGACTGAGAGACAATGGAAATTTGTTTGTTTGTGTACAAGGGGTGTCACTGCATCAGGAGGATATCTCTCTAAATCCAGTGTATTGGTATAGAAACACCAGGGAGCCACATGAACGTTTTCAAGGCACTACTTAAGCCATCCGATGTGTGGTGACAGCCTGAATATTGTTGAATTATCTGGAAGTGGAAGAGAGTTTTCAGTGAGGCCTCTGACAGGATGCGTAGTTATTCTGTTTTGAGATATCTGAAGTTATAGACTAACTGTGACAATCTGATTTAAACACAGAATGCATTTCTGTTCATCTGTTTCACACTAATGTGCAGCTGGATGTATTTTTACATCGTGTGTGAAGTTGTTCAGCAGTGCTGTTTTATATCAGTAGTAGATTTCTTCCTTCAAAGCTTTTTGTAAGATCCATGGCAGTGTTACCTCAATCACTGCTGCAATAGTAAATGTGCCAGCTGTTGCCAGCCACTGCCTCTGTTGCATCCTGTTCTGAGGGCAAGTGCAGGGTAAAAGGTCTGCGTGAAGCCTGAAGGAGTGGTATCCAAACTCTGAATTCAGTCTGGCACTGATGTGTGGACTTAAACTGACAACATTGCATACTATTATTGCTAACTACTATTGCATGTAGTTCATGGAGAGTAGGAGATTTAATTCTGTGTGTGTGTGTGTGTGTGTGTGTGTGTGTGTGTGTGTGTGTGTGTGTGTGCGTGCGTGTGTGTGTGCATTTTTTGTCCTCACAAATCAAATTTAAAATCAGTCAGTGTCAGCTGGGACACAAATTTGTGCACAACTCTCCAAGATGTAATATGAAGAACCTGGTGTCAAATCCTGATCACATGCTCCACAAAGATGAAATTACAATACGTTAGAAAACATTTGGAGCATTGAGATGTGGAAGCTGACGTGTAGTTTGGACATCTTAAATGAAAAATGTTTTCTTCAGTTTGGCCGGAGACCATTTTTCACACTTTAGACCTCGGTATGAGATGGGGCTTTTCTCGTCGACACGTTCATTCATACACTCATGGTGTATATATGCTGTTGCATAACTGTGTCTGCTTGCAATCTAACTAGAACCATGGATCCAAGACCTGAGGTGGAAAAAAAACTATTCAAAACCACACTCACAGTGAAATGCCCCAAAAGATCTCTTGGACTCACAGTGAATTCACAGTCAGCGCTGGGCACTGCTGGCTGTAGTCGCCCCTTATCAGCTTCTGTTTGGCTGTCTCAGCATATTAAATCAGGGGTGGAGGCAGTCAGTGAGAGAGAGAGAGCCATCTGAGTGACTGACAACCTAGTGAATCATTGTTTCCACTCATTTAGTACACTTTCTCATGCATTTTCCTTTTCTCTCCTCAAGTAAAGGACCATGGACTGGCAATGCAAGAAAACTTGACAGTGCCAGTTCAGGCTTTTTTAAAATTTTTATCAGACTTACTGTATTTTTATTTTATATTCCAAGCAAGACTGATAACAAGTGGCATAAAAACATTGAATAGTTACGGTTTATAGTCCTCAGTGCAATGAAGTCCAGAAACCTTTTCCCATGGTTATAATGAAGTGTCTCAGAATAGATTTTTTTGTTTGTCTTTTCGTGATGTTTTTTGGATAATGATTGGTTATTTCCTCTCATGCGGGCACACAACATACATGCATGTCGGCAGCTGGCCATCAGCTGTGGTCTTTGAAGTGTGTTCAAGTGCAACTTTTAACAGAGCATGCAGAGCATTTGATTAGTCTGCCTGTTTCAGCATTAGTCAGCGTAGACCCTACTGAAACATGAAGCCAGTGACCCAAGAGTGGTCAAATGTGATATTGGTGTAATCTGTACTGCAGTAGTAATACGTCTTTAATTCGTCATATTTGTGTTTTTATAGAACATGCTGTAAAGAAGGGGCAGTGAAATGTCCACGTTAACATCTCTTCAGTCCCCCTAAACACTGACAATCCACAGCTGTCAGATGACTTTCCTGCTGAAAAAGGGGATACTTTGACTGGCAACCTTTATTAGGGACATGCAACAATGAGGACAACCACAGCTATGGAAATGATTCATAATATATGTGCTGTCTTAACTCAAGAGAAAAGTAACCAGTAATGTCACCTGTTTACTTCTGTGTGATGTACCCAACAGTTGGCCGGTCTTCATTGTTGCTTATCGGTTAAATACTTGCGCAGATTTTGTATGTCATAGTGATTGGTTTTCTCTTTTCTTAATTATAAACATATGGGGTGTCTACTTGAGCTCTTCCAATGTAATCAAACACCTATCATTTGCAGCAATGAAGATCCTTTGACTGAAATAATTTAGCATGGTGATGTAGGGCCAGGCATCGTACATTCCCCCAAATTGGAGAATGACTACTTCTGAAAGAATTTCATATTGGCCAAGAAATCCAGTTAAAACTCCAGGGGATTGGGATTTATCTGGCACCTGTGTTCGAAAGCAGGCGCCTTAAATCATCCCTCCATACGTCTTGGAGGCAAAATGACCGTGGTGTTATTCATTAGTTTGGTTCCTGTCAGGTGGGTATTTACCAGTTAAGTGCCAGCCCCTATTAATCCCCCTGATAGTTAAGTGCCAGCACTTAACTGTAACCTCACCATTATAAATAAGATGCACATCTAAAGCAAAGTAAAGCCAGTAATGGACAGTGATCTCCTGTGTTTTATTTGAAACCATGTTACTTTAGAGGAATGCACTGCACATCCAACTATAACAACTTTCCTTCAGAAAAGACCTAGATTTACTACTTTACAGGTGAATTGTGACCTTTGAGATAAATGTTAAGAGGTGTAACATGTTTCACACATCGTATTGTACCGTTCACTTAAGTTTTAAGTGTAGGCTGAGACATTAGTAGCAACAGTTTTCACTTTTGCTGCGAGTCTTCATGAAAAGAAGCAAGAATCTCATAACTATTAGTGAGATCTGCTGCTTGCACATCACACCCACTCATAAATACTGTACCATTTACTTTAGGCAGGCTGCAGTTGAAATTTAGTATTGGCCCCACTAATAACAGGCTAAGTAAATATAGGTCCTAAATCTAAGGTCAGTCCTTTGTCACCTTGGTCAATAAAAAAATGCAAATGCATTAAATAACATCATAAAGATGGCACTGCTTTCTTAAGATTGTGAACTATTGTGCTTCGAGGCATTGCTTATCATACTGTGTGTTAGTTATGTCATACCTCAACAGCACTTTGATTTTCATGAGCTGTCTCCAGGGTCAATATTACCTGCGGTGATTACACTGCTGTTCACCACATGGTAACATGATGAATCATCCCAAATGACTGTGGGCCAACACAGATTATTAATGCTGCCGAGGGTTCCCCCTTCTGTGATTGGATTCTATTTACGTACATGATTGTTTTTCAAAATAGTGGGTCAAGCATATAGACCGTGGGGGAATGCCTCCAAAATCCAGTTTCGACATCAGATTTTTTATTATGTTTTTTCATGTGTTCTGTTTTGTCTTTAAATTTCATTGTTCATTCAAGATCCATTGTTCACCCTCTGGTGGGAAGCGGTTGCCGATCCTGAACCATATCATCCTCAGTCAGTCCAGTCAGGGAACTCTGCATGTCTGTTGTGTGTCTTTCCCCATCTCTTCCCTCATTTTCTGTCATCTCTTCCCTGACGACTCACTAATAATGCTTAAATGATGGTTGATGCTGGAAATATCCCAAACTGATCCCATCACTGATGTTTGACATGTTATTATCAGGAATAACAAAATGCACCCTGGAACATGAGGCACATCCCCAAAATTTTCTTTAAAAGAACCATGAGAGTGAAATTATTTTCTGGTGTTTGATGTGCTTTTGTGGTAAACAGAATGTCAAGACCGGAAGACTTCATTTGAAATACTAAAGTAGACATGCAGGTTTTTTTATGATGGAAGCAGCTGTTTGATTCCCTGAAAATCTGTGATTTTATTGGATTGAATCTGTATGTATGCCCCCAAGAACAAGATATGTTGCTGAGGAAATTTGATCATTTTACAGGAAATGAAAGCGTGGGATATTGATATGAAAATGGCCTACTACAAAATGCATGTTTTGTACACATATAGTACATCATATATTTGTACACAGTATAACAATATGCCTGGAGACACAAGTAAACAACATAGACAAGGTTTTTTTGATGTAATGGGACCCTGAACTCTTCAATTTCCAACAGGATTTAACTTACATCTTCACTGGAAAGAGCTCAGAGGTAAAAATTCAACTATCAATTTTCTATTCAGAAGAAGGCCATGCAGTCTTTGAGGGCCCAGCAGGATGATGAATTGTTTAAGTTTGAACAAATGTGGTTGACAATGGATCAAATGAGCACTTCACAGCTCCTACAAGTCGACAGTAAATGTACCCCTAAACAAACACGATGAATACACTCCTGAGTTGAATGGAGAATTAGTGGGGGGAACAGACAGAGAAGACAAAAGAGGAAAAGCGGGAAGAATTCAACATAGAAGAGAAATCCAAGGGGGAAGAAAATCGTGGTGCAGTTGGACATGCTGAAGCATTGCAGAAGGGTCTAGCTGACATTACCAAGGAAATAAACAATCTCAGACAATGAATGAAAAACAATCAATATAGACTAAAGACAAGAACTCATGAACCTTAGGGAAGACATCAACTGCAAATTGGAAAATAAAGAAGGCCTGATGACAACACTCATTGAGCAGAGACAACTACAAGAGAAATTAGTTTAGCTGGACACAAGATCGCAGTGAAACAATGTGCATATCTGAGGGGGACCAAAGGGTGCAGAGGGAGACTCCAGAGAAGAGCTGTGATCCATAGTGGCTAATTTCTTCCAGTTCAACAGTTTTTGAACATAACCGCCCAACAGCATTCACGGAAATTAAGAAAGCACTAAAAGAAAAGGGGGTTCAAATTCCAGACACCTCTTCACAAGGATTAGATTTCACTGGAGCGAAGGACGTCAACTATGATAATGCAACAGAAGTAGAAAGGGATTTGAGAAGGAGGGGGGGTCTGGACATCCAGGTGAAGGACACCAACGAGGATATGTGATGGAGGAACAGATACAGATAGTGTTGCTATGACAACGCATTGGGGACCCAGGAGCACAAAGTGAGATGACTCAACGTGCAACGGAGAAACTGCAGGAGTTTCAGAGATGAAGGAAACAAGTGAGAGGAATGGGAGGTAAAGCTGAGGGCAGGACAGAAAAAGAAACCATGCGCCGAAGTTCAACACCCACAATGCACTGATGTTTTGAGCAGGGGGAGAAGCAGATATTTGTTATGAAAATACACCACTTTATGGGGCTGTATTTACTTTCAGGTATTGGTTAACCTAGGCTAAGAGGCTGGATACAAAGCCACAGCTTCCCTACCAAGTCAAAGGCTTCTCTTCAGATGTAACCCAACTGGTTGTAGGCTAAACTACAGAGGAAAGATGGGCACATCTAGAAGGAAAGGAAGATCCATAATAGGCGCTCTAGCTGCCTATAGGGAGGAGCCCTTCCTACAAAGGAGGATTTGCTCGTCTTATTCCAAAAGGGACCAACAGATGGAGCCCTTTCTTATCTGAAGTCTTCTTGAGTTCTAATGCCAGAGCGTTAGAAGTGTAGGAGGATGGAGGACCATTTGAGGAAATGGCAGGATGGAATTTAACTATCTTAAAATGATCTCTTTTAAATGTGAAAAATCCATTGAAAAGTGGGAAACAGTAACAGCCAAATAAGATAAAATAAAAAGAAGAAGAAAAAAGTCGTAAGAGACATACTCCGCCGAACATAAAAAATTCAAAAAGTTAGGATTTAAAAATAAATTTTATAGCTCATTTAGATGGGAGGAATAGCTGTTTCAATCTCAAATACAACAAAATGTGAGATTCCCGAAACAAACCTATTATGAAGGGCAACCCAAAGCAATAAAAATATTAGCTAGGTTTATTAGGAAGGAACAGCTGCTTAATGCACTTCATAAATGTAGAGAGGCTACACTTTAATATTCATTCAGTTGTGGATGAAGAATAAAAATACTTTTTTCAATTCATTGCCAGCAATAGGGGAAAGACAGAATCCCATTGTAGACTCAAATATCACTGAAAAAGAATAGGAAAAAGCAATTAATGAATGAAAATCTGCTTCACAATTAATTAATAAGGACCAATCAGGTTTTATTTAGGGAAACACTGAACACATGATTCACATTAGAAGGACACTACATAAAATCAAGGAAGTACAAAAAGAACTAGAAAGCGCTAATTAACTTAAACACAGAAAAGGCTTTCAAAATTTTAGATCTCTGGGCAAATGTGTCTACAATGCAGATTCAGTCATCTGCATTAAAATTGTACAAATCGGTTTAAGAGATCAGTTGCTGTCTGTCCCTGACCCTCTTTGTGATTTTCATTGCGATGAGGAGATTACAGGGATAAAGGTGAGAGGTGCAGAATTTTAAATTGGGTTTGTTCGCAGATGATATCCTGATCTACTTAAAATAATTGCAATTGCCTGACAAAGCTAATGAAGTTCTTAGAATCTTTCATTACCTGACAAGCTTAATGTAGCAAGAACACAGATTCTGTTGATAAATTTCCAAACACAGTCCAACAGGCCTTGATCTCAGATTGATGGGAAAACAATGCAATATTGAGTAACCATTACAAGTAAATAATCAAAGTTGTATGAGGAAAATGATATACTCCTAAATCAACACCTACATTAGACTTTAGGTCTTTGGTTTCTTTGGGAGATTGTTCCAATCTCTCCCAGTGGCAATCCTTGGGAGAGGAAAGACGTGCACAACCCTTCGGTTCCCCAAAGATAGGACAGGTGTGGCACTACTAAATCTTTTTAGATTAGTTTTTTGCTGTCAACAGGTATGATATCCCGTATTCCTGAGTCTTAAAAATGATAATAAATCAGATGGTGGTTTATTTAGGATGGCTCTATGAAATTAAAGAAGACAGTGTTTTTCCCATAGTGTGGTAAGTGATGTCCGCCCCCCCTTCTCATAGAGGATACAATGTACCTGTAATAAATCAAAGGGCGTTGTGATACACAGCATCAAGGGGCTTGCGGATGTACACAGCACCATGCATGTAAATTACATCTTCATGGTCAAGCACTGATAAAATATGCCAGTCTGTATTGTGCTGATAAAAGAGAGGCACTTTAAATTTAAGCTTCTTGGTTAGATCTTCAACATGAATTTTAAAACAATTTTTTATCTAACCAGATACAACAGTTACTTGTCGCATGTGATTTTTTTGAGCCCCTGATATTGTACTAATAAAAAAGATTTGGAGATTAATCAGGGCAATGTAGAGTAGTCAAAAATTGAACTTTAAACTTTGTCAATAGACTGTACTTATGCATAAATTACTGTCAATCTGTGTCAAAGATTTTTTTTTAGGTAGCATACCTGCAGATTATTTCAGTTTTATGATACATTTTCCTTTGTGAGCAGCAAGAACATCGTTGGCAGAGCGATTTCTGTGTTTCACCAACGTTTGTTGTCGAGTAGAGGAACCGCTACACTGTACATAAGAGATAAATAGAGATAAATAGAGCTCAAAATACAAATATCTAAAGATACAATGTATGTAAGATAAAAAAGAAAAACCACCAGCTCCAGGCTAAGACTTGAAGTAGATATTCACTACACAACTGTCATGCTGGAGGATGTGTGGTTAGAAAAATGGAGATCACATTCATGTCTTCATTGGGTGATGTATTATCCAAGACCTGTGTGGAGCTATGTTTAGATAAGGTGACACACAAAAAAGTACAGCATGAGGACCGATATCATGTAAAAGGTCTGTTCGCAGCAATTGAGGAGATGTTAAGAAGACCCCCTAACTCAAGGGAACTGGCTACACATAGTTGAATAGATATATGATACGTAAAGACTCTCGTGTTTTGAGAATTGCTCTGCATGTAATGAAGCAAACTTGTTGAGCCCAGTTTTGTGTTTAAAAGCTGAATGTGTGTATGTGAATATGTGTGTGTATGTTTAGTTTATCTCCCACAAAATAATATAGTAATTATTTACTTTGCACTATTCTAAAGTGTGGTTACAGTATGCAGTAGTGTGACCTCAGTGGGGACTTGTATTTTGAAAAGTAAACATTACAGTCACAAAGTATATCGCAAAGATGCAGAAAGCATCACTTAAACAGACACAGGTAGTTAAGCACAATTCTCAGTGGGACATAACATGATCAGGGATTTAACATGAAGCCAGCCTGCTAAATAGAATCATGAATTCTAATCTGTTCTTAATTGAATGCCAGTACAGGTCTAACACGTAAGCTACAGCTGGCACCATCATTAGCCTGTTTACTTTATTTTGAAGCAGAGGCACAATAAGGCAGCTTCCCTATGGCACATGAATAAGCAATTTGACTAATCAAGGCAGGACGAGATGAGGGAATGAGTAATTTTCTCTTCCAGCTTGCATAGCACATGAAGCTTGTTTTACATTCACCACATTTGTCAGACTGTTCTGTTTGCTCTATGTCTCTGCATTATTTAGACTCTGAAGTAAAGAACAACAGCAGTCACACAAGTCTGTTGATTAAAGAAACACAGCAACTCAACATTCACACTGACGTGGGTTTGGACACAAGGATATAAAAGCTTCCATAATGAGATGCACAGACTCCGCATACTTACTCAAATCTTTAGCAAGGGCTCTCAACATGTCTCTTACAAAGACGAGTGGATTAAAATTTTACATATCATAATCATATTTCTGCTTTGTTTACAGCACTCAATGTCACGGAGGAGAAGGCAACATGCCCCCTTGGATATTTCCCCTGTGGCAACTTGACCGTGTGCCTCCCTCAGCTCCTGCACTGCAACGGCATTGATGACTGTGGAAATCAAGCGGACGAGGAGAACTGTGGTGAGTCATTGTATCTACTTGAACAAATGTTAATGTGATCATGTCTGTACAACTTCATGCTCACACCTGCAATGTACCAGCTCTGTGGGGCACTTAGATAATAGTGGACATGTACAATGAGGAAATACCAAATGGACTGTTTTTTAAAGAGTAACTTTACACTAAATCAACTTTTTTAAATAAGTGAGTTATATTTGCATTTACTTTATTATACAATCACTTGTTCAAGCCACAACAGGGTGTGAAGTTGCTCTTTAAGTCAGTTTGAGGTCACGATAGACTTTAAAAATATGTATATATATTTAAAAAATGCAAAACCGTACATAAATAGTTACCCTAACAAACGCAGCTGTTGCTTTTGAAATCTGCTTCTGAAATTTGCTTCTGTCGTGCACCTCAGACTTCTGCAGAGCACAGTACTGAGCCTAACTTGATCTATACTCATAATCAAATCTATTGCTGCCGTAGGCAGTATGGATAAAACTACGGGGCATCCGGGTATTGCAGGGACACATAACTGTGCAGGGAAATAAACAAATGCTAAAATAAATTTGTAAGAAGATGAAAATTGCATGATCCATTTTTTTCATTTTTTGGATTACATTCCCTTGTGTTTTGTGCCTTGTCAGTGCAACTCCATCTCCAAATCTCTGTATTTTGTGCACAACTGGTACAGTGTGAATACATTCATTCATTCTTTAACTCACCTGCCAAGACACAAGGATTTACCAGAAACTGACCACCTGTAGTTTTCTACACAGTGGTGAGATGTTCTTACAGCTGTTTAAAAAATCCAAATATATTGGTAAAGAGGAATAAATGAATGCAACACTGTACATTATTTTCATTTCTAGGTTTCCTTTTCTTTCGTCTCTCCCATTAATTTCGCCCACGACAAATTAATTTTTACTCGTATGCAAAATAAAATATATTTTTTACCAGATATAAAAACTCTTTACAAGTTGCCCAAGAACCCAACCAGGTGCAAGACTCAGTTGTGGAAAGAACTTATTCTGTAAGTGTCCAAACATCATATCATCAGTATGCAATCACACATACAACTGACACTGTAACTGACTCAAAGTTATTGTTAACAAAATAAAATGCAATTTCAATACAAAGAACTCATAAAATGATGGTAAAAGATATTGAATATGGTTACAGTATGGTAGCACTTTGAAATGGTAACCTTTTAATGTCTGAGCCTTCTCATCGCTGATGATCTGCAGCTCCAGTTTGTGAAGACAGGATGCATGACTGATTTCCTAAATTTATTAGACCCCAAGGTGCAGCTTGTAAAGTAGTTGTCATATCATAATAAATGACATATAAAATCCCCCTGACATCCGTCCATTCCCCAGGATCAGTTTAGTCGTCCCACAGGAAGTATTATTTTCTGATGTCGGCTTTATTTCCAGCAAGTTTTGGAGGTTTAAAGTTAGAATCATTTCCCTGCCTGTCATGGTAACTTTCCTGTATCCAGCCATATTCAGTAGTGTGCCACCACAAATGTGACATTAGTGCATTGGTGGCTCACACTTGTTGCCGGTTTATTGAATAAAGTTTCAAACCCCTGTTTTACACGCACCAGCACTCCCACTTTCCTGGTTTCAGCAGCACAATCCAATCACACACAGCACAGCGAACAAAACAGCAGCATAGTAACTTGGTTGTGGTTCACACTGGTGGACAAGTACAGCATAAATATTATTAATCTTTTCTATCAGCTGGTGTTCAGCTACCCCGCTGGTATATTCTGGGCATGATGCCCATAAGACAGCCAGGCTAGATGCTGGCCAGGTAGCAGTTAGCGGCAGCCTCTGCCTCTTTTGTCTTTTGCCCACTTCATCTACTCTCACACACCTCACACTTCTTTAAAGCAGCATTACTTCATATTTTATTATTATAGTTTAGCAGCTAAAGAGTCGGTTGTTTTTATCATGAGTTGATGAAGACTGAAACCTAGCTAAAATGAATATTGGACTTCCATCACATTTGTCAGGTTGCCAGAAACGCAACTGTAAATGCATGATAGTGGAGCTCTGCATCTGCTGGATATGTAAATAAATAATTGTTTGCTAACACATTTGCTATATTGACTTTACAGTACAAGGTGATAAACTGTTAGTCTGGTGTTTGCATTTTTTTGCCCTGCCCCCCAGGGGTAACAAATTAATGTAGGTTAAATAACAACCCGTCAAGTCACATGTTCATAAGATGCTTGTGACCAAACTCTTGTAAAGGAGATTTGACTAAAATACCCAGGAAAGGTGTAATATATTGCAAGTCAAAATACTTGAATAAAGATATGAATGCTGTTTGGGTAGTTTTTAGTTTGAGAATAGGCCTTTTCATTTGTATTTGTTGTCCTTCACCACTCAACACTTCTGAGAATTAGAGTTAAGCTTTTGTTTTAGTTGGATTCATTTCATGACTCACTTTTCATCTTTTATTTCTTTCATCAGTAGAAATGAGGGCTGTCTCATAAAATGAAGACCTTCCTTCACTAGATTGCAGTTTGTTTTTTAAAATTTAATGAAAATGTAAGGATTTGTATCCTAGGACATGGTAGATGAAACGTCAATAAACACTTCTTGAAATAAGTGATTGGACAACACAGTCAACTTTGAAATGTTTTACTGCATTTGCACAGAGGCTATTTACATCCACAGCTGCTAACTCTCAGACCTTTTTGATATTGCTCTTGTCAGGAAGAACACATTGCTCACCTCAGACTTTGAGGGTGACTGATTAAATCCTCTTGGGGCAGTTTGGCTGTCGCTCTCTTTTCAAGCATCCCTGAGCAAGACATTTGGTTTAAACAGTGCAAATTTCTCCAACTGCTTCTAACGTCCTGCTGAAAATAGCAGCCTGCCCCAAGGGTGTGAGAAGCACTCGAATAATGTGTGATCAGCTGCATGCATCTGGTGAATAGTTTAGACAGAACAAGCACAAATACCATGGGCACAATGGGAGAGCCAGATATTCAGATTGAATCGCTATTTGGTTACCCCTACACTATTCAGTCTGACATTGCCCTCTTGCTAGCCATTTTCTGGGTGGAGGGTTTGATATTCATCAGGGCAACGCTGGGGATGAGTGTTGGTGAAGAGCAAAGTTTATGGAGAACAGCAGTTCTTTTGCAAATTGCCCAAACTCATTGAGAGTTTCTTCTAGGGCTTCAGCTAATGATTATAAATCATCTGTAGTGAAAATTGCCTGTTGCAATTTCCTGTAGCCCAAAGAAACAAAGAAAAGCAGCACCAAGAAGCTGGAATTAATGTTTGTTATCTGATCTGGAAAAGAAAAAATAATTAAAAAGTTATCAAGATAGTTTCCATTACATTTCTGTTGATCGGCTACTTAGTTAATCAGCTCAGAATTGCAGCTTTTCTCCTGAGGTTTATTATCTATGTTAAATAGTGTCTACTACAGTGTTTACCGTTTGAATTTGAACCCTTTAAATTTAGATAATGATTGATTTGTTAGCATTCAAAAATCTACAGCTCCTATGAAGTTACACTAGCTGCAGAGCTTATGTATGTCATCACAATCTTTTGTCGTAATTTCCACTGTCTAATCATCATGGTGCAGTAACCTGCCGTATGGCCTCACTTTAACTCATCCCATAACGTTTATACCTGTCTAGACAAGTGAACTGCAGCAAGCTTGGAAGCTCATATGGATAGAAATGACAGCGCACCCTCATTATGCTGCATTCAGAGGCTCGCCTTCAGTGTGAACTCTGACTTAAAGAGTTGTAGTGTTAAAGTTTTCAAGGATTCAATTTAAAAGTTGAGTTCACATCCACAGTCCTGTCTGTGGTTAGGTTTAGGCAACAAAAGCACCCTAGGAAAGCTTAGGGAAAGATTGTGGTTTTGGTTAAATGTAAATTAACACCTTGTTTCTGAAGTCATTGTGACCTTTTTTTTTTTGTATTAAACAAAATAACCATAAAAAAAGTTTAATAATGTTTTGCACTAAACAAGTACATTCTCTATGAACATTTTAACTGCCAATTCAGTATCAGTGTATTTGCAACTAACCGAGTCACAATTGCATTTCCTATGAAATGTATTTGTGTATTTGCTGTTGAAGTTTAGTGGTGTGTGTGTATATATCACTAGCTACAGAGCTCTGCCCCTACATGCATAGGGCAGAAGACATGCTGAAAAACAATTACTAAACATAAAAGAAGTACATTTATTCTTACCTTTTGAGAAAAGGTTTGTGAAAAAAATAGTAATCATGTGTTGATATTACTGTAGATTGTGGTGCACGACAATTTTGACCTATAACAAGAAAATGATTCAACACAGAGCTTCACCGTACTATTATGGCAGGTCTCCAACTGATGAATAGCTGAAAGCCAAGTGTTTGTGTTTTGTGCTGAAGAAGGAGACAGAGAGATTGTGATTGAGGTTCTATATAACTTCCCAGCTGGTCGTCACTGTAACGTCAGAAAGACACTGAGCTCTAACGACTCTGAGTTCGGACATCCGTAAAATTTTAGTTGGAAATAAAAATCGGGTTGACGTCAAAACCCAACGTTGGCTGATTGACATTGTGACGTTTAGCAAACATTCGGTCATGACTAGAGTGTTGGTATTTTATGTCAATATGACGTTGGCATGAGACGTCTGGACGTTTTGGTTACTTGGCAACACAACTTAAAACCATCAAAATATCAATGTCAGTTTTCATCAGTATTTTACATTAAATTGTCATTGGGTGTTAATTTTGAATTTCCGTCAGATGTAACAACCTACATTCATCCAAATATCAACAATGTTCATTGTCAGTTGCGTGCCTGCTGGGTTGCAGGTATGAACACCATACGCAGATGTTTTGCAGCAAGTGTTGACCAACTTTTTAACATTTTCCTTTGAACCAATGTCAGAGGAAAAATAAATCAAGCAGATTCTCATCAGCAATACTGCGTGCTGGTCTGGCTTTCGCTGTCAAGATTTTCATAAGCACTTAAGAGAACGTCAAAGCAG